AGGAGGGCCGTGTGTTTGAGGTAGAAATATTGTTTTTGATAGATCATCACCTCAAGTTAAATATTTCAAAACAACTTTGAAAAGGCAATACAATATAAGTCATGTAAAAAATAATGAAGAAATGAACAATAATAACAACGAATAATACGATAATCGGAAAAAAAAAAAACAAGTAATAGAATACTACTAATAAAAACTAAACGACATTAACTATCTACTAACTTTTTATCCTAATCCTCGATCTGCCTAAAATATTTATCTTAAGGAAAAATCCTTTTGGCCAGAAAATTTGGCCAGAATTATATTTTACCTATGTTATTTTATTTTTTAAGAAACATGTTTACCCTTTTAATTTTAATACTTTTTAACTAAAAAATAGAAAAAAAACCAGTTCATTTTAAAATAAAAAAATATTATAATTTTTAAAAAATTTCTGACCAAATTTTCTGGTCATTTAGCATTACCCTTTATCTTAAAATGTGTGTAAAAATCTTTAAAATACACATAATATGAAACTATAAAACAAAAGGCATCACTCCAACGTTGGTACGAATCTTTTTGCAACTGGCCCCCCTTCTTTGTCCTCATTGATATGTCCATCATTAAAGCAATCTAATTAATTAAACTAAAATAAATTACAGTCCACTATCACTGGCCTTTGTACTGTAATTTCCCTGATTAGTCAGTTAATAATTTGTAATTTCCCAGAAAACTTCACTAATTAAAATGGTTAAACAAAAAGGCAACGGTCAAGTAAAAAACGGGTATCATGAGACATGCATGTGCATCGGACGTGACTTCACCTGCACCGTCTAAAAGAACAAACAAACAAAAAATATTGCTTAATACACATGATCGTGCCCTTTAACTTGATTTCGGGACATTTTTTTTTTAACTTTGAGAGTGAATGAGTAGACACTTAAATTTATATATAATTGAATAAGTAGATACACACATTCTACTTGACCTGTTATGTGACAATTTGTGTCATACGCTCTTACTTGTATTATACCACGTAGGACGTGTATGACTACTTGTTCAACTTTATACAAATTTAAGTGTCTATTTATGCACGTCCAAAACTGAAACACATAGATACTAGTCGATGTCAAATTAAATGACATATTTATGTATTATGCCAAAAAAAAACCCGCCTCCGTTCATTTAAAAAAGTGTTTTCAATTTGCAACTCTTTAATTCTAACTTAATATGTGATAGACTTAAGACCACCGTCCACAAATAACATTTTGGTATATTTCATGTATTTTTTTGTTAAAGACCATAAATTTAAAAGTCTTTTTTACTTTGTTAATCTTGTTAAGTTAAAATCAGACAAACAAGTTATAGCAGAGTCCCGGTAATAATTTCACACACTGTTCCCTACAATACCAACTCTCTTTCAACGGTTATATTCCTCTGACATATACCTCAACGGTCATATTCTTGTTCTTTTCCACCGTCTGATTAAGATCGGACGGTGATAGATCAAGGTTCCTCTCTCCCCTTTCTCCAACATCATCTTTACCAAGCCATGATTTGTTTCCCTCTAGAAGTAAAAAACAAGAAGAGGGTTGTTTCAATCTTGATATATAAAATAACACAGTTGTATATGGGGTTTAACTTTTTTGGGTAGTGGGGCTTTGGGAAGTTACTTCTTTTTCTTCAGTTTTTTCTCTTTGGTGATTATAATGATGATGATGATGATGACAGTTGATTTGTCTGTTTACGCATATGTTTGAAGGCTTAAGGGGTGATTTTCTTGGGGGGTTGGTGTAGATTTTGGTTAAGTTATAGCTAGGATTTACTTGTGGGGTTGTTTGAAATCTTGTTTGGTGAAATGGGTTGCTTAAAGATTCAATTTTTAGGGTGTTGATTGGTTTAGATTTCAGCTAAGCTGGCATGGGATTGTTGAAAGTGTATTTTGCTGAAGTGGGTAGCTCAAAGTTTCAGTTTTTCTGCTGCATTTCTGGGAAAAAATGTGTTCAGAGTTTCTACATTCATGTTGTGAGTTCTTCTTCTTTCAATTCTTTGGGAAATCAAATTTCTAGATAATGAGTTTTATTGTACTGTGAAAGTTTTTGGAATCCGATGATCTTATTTTGGTAGGTGTTAAAATTGTTGATAATAGGAGAATTCTTTCCAATTCTTTGATTCTTTCTATTGGTGTTTGTGTATTGTTGTTGATTCCATTCTTTGTTGCATATAGAAATATTATATATAGGACACACAGATATCACATTTTGTTTTTTTGGCATCGGATTCCAATTTTTGTTTTTCTTGGAACTTCACACACACTCACATATAGACATTGTTCTGTTTCTCTTGGATCATCTATAGAAATTTAGCATTAACATATTGTATATTTCATAGTGAAAATATATACATATATAGAAAGATAAGAGAGACAGAGACATAGAGAAGAAAAGGGTTGGGTGAGTTGGAGTTGAAAAGAAAAGAAAAAAAATTGGAAGGGTGTGAAGAATGTTGGCTGGTTGTTCTTCTTCATTGTTGTCACCTAGGCATAGATTAAGGAGTGAAGCATCTGCACAGTTTCAAGCTTGTAATTTCCCTTCAATGAGCACACAAAGATTGGACTTGCCATGTAGTTTTGCTAGAAAAGATACCTCAAGGTCCCAGTCCATTAGTAGGCCAGTAGGACTTTCTGTTGAGAAGCCAATTGAAGCAAAGAACAGTACTTGCTCTCTCAAGCAGAACATTCGTCTACCGCCATCCTCGACAAGTGCTCAGACATCATATGTAGAAGGTAGGAGAGAAAGCAAGGATGAATTTTGGGAAAAAGGTAGGAGCTTGAAGAGGTATGCTGAGCAGGGATGTATTGATGATGAGAGCTGCATGAGCAGAGCTAAGAGGAAAAAAGGTAATAGGAAGTCAGGTGATTGTTCAGAAGATGGCTATGATCTGAGTTTGAGCCAATTGGGTGGTGGCGATTTCTGGTTACAATCAGGTTTCAACGCGGCGCGTTCAGTTCCCCTAATTGCAGGCCTTCATCCACCTCAAGCAGCACCATTCTCCTTTTCTTGTTCCGGAGAGGAAGAGAGTGTATGTTATGTGCCAAATGAGGTGATATCACCACCTCTGCCTATGTCAAACAATCCTTGGATTGAATCTGTAGTGACTGAGATAACGAGTTTTGGTGACAAGAATGTCTCAACAAGTCAAGATCTTGCCAGAGAGGCCTCAGTATCAAGTGCTTCTTTAGACAGCCATGGCTTGGTTCTTCGGCCTAATGAGAATCCCGGGGAGCATGAAATAGGCAATGGTTCTAGGCTACCTAATCCAAATGACAGGGGTGAAGTTGTAACAGCACATAATGGGCATAATAACCATAGGGAGGATGATGCAGCTGAGCTGATCAGCTTACTTGTGAGTTGTGTTGAAGCAATTGGCTCAAGGAATGTTACTGGTGTTAATCAACTGATAGCTAGGCTAGGGCAGCTTGCCTCTCCAAGAGGGTCTCCAGTAAGCCGGCTTACTGCTTACTTCACCGAAGCTTTAGCTTTGCGTGTTGCAAGGATTTGGCCTCATATCTTTCACATTATACCCCCTCGGGACCTTGATCGTTTAGATGATGATAGCAGTACAGCATTGAGGCTTTTGAATCAGGTTAGTCCAATTCCAAAGTTCATCCACTTCACATCAAATGAAATTCTGCTTAGAGCTTTTGAAGGCAAGGACCGGGTTCACATTATTGATTTTGACATTAAGCAAGGGCTGCAGTGGCCTAGCCTGTTTCAGAGTTTGGCTTCTAGGCCCAACCCTCCTACTCATGTTAGAATTACTGGTATAGGAGAATCAAAACAGGATCTTGTTGAAACAGGAGATAGACTTGCCGAGTTTGCTGAGGCGTTGAATCTGGCTTTCGAGTTCCATCCAGTTGTTGACAGGTTGGAAGATGTACGGCTATGGATGCTTCATGTAAAAGAGGGGGAAAGTGTTGCAGTGAATTGTGTGTTACAGATGCATAGGCTTCTGTATGATAGTTCTGGGGGGATCCTGAGGGACTTTTTGGGGTTGATTAGAAGCACAAATCCCACCATTATTCTGATGGCAGAGCAAGAAGCTGAGCACAATGAGCCTAGCTTGGAAGCAAGACTTGTCAACTCACTCCGATACTATGCTGCTGTCTTTGATTCTATTGGTTTCAGTCTTCCATTAGACAGTCCTGCCAGGATTAAGATAGAGGAGTTGTTTGCTCGGGATATTAGAAATATCATTGCTTGTGAAGGACGGGATAGGACTGAAAGGCATGAATGTTTTGGGAAATGGCGGAAGTTGATGGAACAAGGGGGTTTCAGATGCACAGGGATTACAGAAAGGGAACTGTTTCAGAGTCAAATGCTGTTGAAGATGTACTCATGTGAAGACTACAGGGTCACAAAGCAGGGGAACGACGATGCTGCACTTACTCTGAGTTGGTTAGACCAGCCTCTATGCACAGTCTCCGCGTGGACACCCATTGATGCTGCTGGAAGTTCATCCTCTTATTATCAGCCAAGTTGATTGATTGTTCTTTCGTCAAAACTCTTCATTCATTCATAGACACACAAGCCGTTGTTCTTTTCGTACACAAGAAAAAAGGTTAACAAATTCTTTGTAGGTAGTGTCATTCTTTCATTCTTTATTGCAGATAGATTTGCCAATCTGGTAAGAAAAGAAAATCTTTTAGATAAAAATGCATAGGGGTCAAGGTTCATTTTGTTCGGTACCTTTGATTTCATATTTGTATTCATTCTTTATTCTTCTTGTAAGCTAGGTATTCTTTCTTAGTTCAGTATATTCAGTCAATTTCATCAATGTATTATTTCTTTGGTTGTGTAATGATTTGTCATTGTTTCTCATTCAATTGTAGCAAGAAGATATCCAGATATTGATTTCAATGAAGTGATTCTTTTAGTAATTTTCTCATGTCAGTCACAATTTTTTTGCCTTCATTTATATTTGTATGTTTGAATCCTCTGTATCTTTGAGGGCAAGGAGAGTAAAACCCAAATGAAATATATATTATATATATTTTGAACATGATCTTGTCTATAAACAACTATACGAACACAGCAGGAAAACATATACTTGAATCTAATACACAATGCAAGGTATATCACTGATAAGAGATACCAATGGTCATTTTCTTGCCTTGGGAATCAAAAGCAGCGGTTCTTTCTTTTGTAGTGTTACTCCAAACTTTTCAGTCATGTCTAGCTCAACAGGACATTTTCCACAAGGAAGTTCCCAATCAAAGAAATGAACAAGTGAAGCAAGGACTAAAGGAATTTTTATTGCTGCCATTGGCAGAGCTGGGCATATTCTCCTTCCTGCACCAAAGGGTAAGTACTCAAAGTCATTCCCTTTGAAGTCCATATCAGAACTCAGAAACCTCTGTGGTCTAAACATGTCTGGTTCTTCCCATATCAAAGGATCCCTTGTGATAGCCCAGATGTTTACTAAGATTTGAGCGTCTTTAGGAATTGTGTAACTCATCACTTGGCAGCTTTCGATAGCACGATGTGGAAGCAACAATGGTCCTGGAGGATGCAACCTAAGCGTTTCCTTTACACAGGCTTGGATATAGGACATCTGCAGCAATTGAGATTCTTTTAGGTAATCACTTTCACTGAGTTCTATCTCGAGCTCCTCTTGAACTTTCTTCATTGACTCTACATTTTTCATCAGTTCTGCCATCGCCCACTCGATTGTTGAGGTACTGGTGTCTGAACCAGCTGAGAGTAACTCCTTCACAGGGTTAGGGAAACTTGTTATATACTACATCCCAATAGAAAACTCTCAACTTTCTTGAGTTTAAAAAGAAAAGTGCTAAAGGCTCAATGTATCGGTATATTAGTTGTATAACAATAGATATGCACAAAGACTAACATAATTACTTTGATTTTCATTTTTCAAATACTAAATACTAACTTAGTTTATAGCAGAAAATGAATTTTATAACTCAAATTCTGAGAGAAGGAGAGGAAACAAACCATTAATAACTGGTGGATTCTATCGTTGGTAAAACCATTATCAAGGAGAGTTTCCAAGAAATCTTGTTGGCTAGAAGAACCCTTCTCTCTACTGTTCCTTCTTTCTTCAAGAATCGGTTCCCAGTTGGAACAAAGCTTTGTCACTAAATCTATAGATTTTTTTTGCAGACCTTGAAGATCTAATTTACCTAAAATAGGATATAAATCAGATATATTTGGAGCAGAGAGCACTTCCACTATTCCCCTTACAAGACTTTTTATCACACCATCTTCTATTTCTTCCTCCAAATTAACCATATCCTTAGATATCAGAACATTACTCAGCATGTTCAACACAGTTGCAAAGACTAGCTCTCCAATATTCACCACTTGACCTTCTTTTGACCTCAAGAATTCTACCAATTCCATCACTTTTTTCTCCCTCAGACAAGCTTGAGACTCCAATACTTTTCCAGCGAAAAGCTCGGTTCTGCATAAAGTCCTCAAGTATCTCCATCCACTGTTACATTCAGATATCCATCCCAATGATGTCTTGTCAAGATCTGACCCTTTTGATGGAGCAGCACTTGGAACATCTCTCCCTGACAGAATTTTATCATGGGTTTTGAGGATTTCTACAGCAGCAAGAGGTGATGATCCAACAACTAACCATTTAGTTCCAAGCTTTAGGGACATAAGAGGGCCATAAGTTTTTGCAAAATTTGTCAGAGTTATGTGAGGCATTTTTCCCATTTGAAAAATATTTCCTATGACTGGCCATGGTGTTGGTCCTGGTGGAAGTTGTGTAATTTTGGATGATTTGAAAATTTTGAAGATAAAAAAAATTAAGGGCAAGAGGAAAAATGGAAGAAGGAAAAAAATTTCAAATTGCTGTGCCATGACCTGCAAATGAACAAGTTTTTTTTTCTTACAAATCAAATATATTTTGTGTAGAATTTTCTACTAGATTTATTGAAGTAAACCTCATAAACTATATCCTGTAGTAAAAAGTGTATCTACTATTTGTGGTGCAAGTGATTTTGTACTAGAATTATTGTGAATTGAAAGTGATTGATTCTAGATTAGGGTGATGTAGGGGAAGATATTTAAGCTGTCAATTTTCTCTCTGTTTGTCATGAAACAGAAATCTTACTAACAACTATAGGAGGTCATTTGGAGCATTTCTTTTTTTATATAGGTGAACTTTCCATATGTATTTCTTTTCTGTGTTCTTTCAAAAAAAAAAAAAAAAAAAACAGGTTCAAACATCTCTTGTACAATAAATAGACAATCATTATCTAGGTTTTGTGATGCTACATGTTCTGCCTAAAATGTTATGCCACTACTTTAGCACATCCATCTTAGCATCCGTATCTCTGCGATACTCATCTTGTGAATACTGGTCCATTGTCATCAAGGGTAAGGAGAGTAGACCCAAGTGAAACATTTTCACTTGAAAATTATGCACCTGGACACACATGATTTTATCTTAATAGGACTATAATATAAGTTCCCTCTTATCACCAAAAGAACTTCTGTTTATAATCACACGAGATTACAGGAGGACAAAAAATACTTGTATCTAATGCACAGGGATAAAAAAAGGGGAACTGTTGGATGATTTGAACAACATTTTTGATGAAAAAAATTAACGGTAAGAGGAAAATTGGAAGCAGGAAAAGAATTTCAAAAGGCTGAGCCATGACCTGCAAATGAACAAGTTTTTTCTTCTTCTTTCAAATCAAATATATTCTAGTTCTAGTGTAGAATTTTCTACTAGATTTATTGAAGTACTTATCCTGTCGTTAAGCTAGATCCTGTAGTTAAAAGTACTTATCTACTATTTGTGGAGCAAGTGTTCTTCTACTTACTTGTATTATTGTGAACTGAAAGTTATTAATTCTAGAGAGCCTGATCAATTTTCTCTCTGTTTGTCATGAAACAGAAATCTAACAACTATAAGAGGTCATTTGGAGCATTTTCTTTTTATAAAGGTGAACTTTCAATCTTTTTTCTTTCTTATTATAAAAAAGCACAATGAGTTCAAGAACCTCTTGTACTATAAAGACAATTATTATCTAGGTTTTGAGATGCTCATGAATGACTTGCTTAAAGTTATTGCGCGTTCTGCCTAAAATGCTACCCCACTGTTTTCTCACATTCATCTTAGCATCCACATCTCTGATACACTCATCTTGTAGATATTGTTCCATTGTCATTGAGGGCGAGTGAACCATTTTCACTTGAAAATTTATGTAATCGCACATGATCTTATTATCTTGATATATAACTTGCCTCTTTATCACCACAAAAACTTCTGTCTATAACATGAGAATACAACAACATGCCTAGTATAGTCCTACAAAGTGAAGTTTGGGTAGGGTAGAGTGTACGCAGACCATACCCCTACCTCAGAGGTGGAGAGGTTGTTTCATATAGACCTAGGCTCAAGAATAAACAGTCCAAAGCAGTCCAGGAGAAAAAGTAATAGGAATATGTTTTCTTAGGAAAATATATTTTGGATTGGTTTTAAGAGTCGCCACTTAATTTTTAAGAAAAAATTAAGAAAACTGTTGTTTTCAAAAGACTAAAACAGAAATCTAGTGAAAACTTAAAAAAGGGTTCGAAGTTCTTATTAACATTCTAGGAAGGTTTTAAAAGCACCTAGAATGTCCACTAATGTGGTTATCCAGCAATTGATTATTTGGCTAAAATAAATTAACTTGAGCATACATGACTAAGTTACGAAAATAAAGAGTTTGAAACTTGAAATCATTTTTTAAGGGAAAGGAAAGTATTATAAGAGCATTTACTTAAGTGAAATATAATAAATATTAGGGTCAATTAAAAAATGAGTTGATTTTAATTTTAATTCAAAACGGCTTTCTTTTGGGGAGTTGAATTTTTAGAATCTTAAGATCAATTTTAACAAATAAAACATATAGTAGCAATTGAATAGATAAGGAAAGGAAGTTTGGGCCCAAGTTTGGTTTTTCTGTCCGTCTGGACCAATACTTGGGCCCATTTTCGTTTTGGACTTTTGGCCCATTTGAGTCATTTATACCTGTCCTATCCTTCTAA